AAGTGTATAACCAACACTCACGTGTGACTCAACGAAAAATAGATATTTGTGACAGACCTTGAAATGTCAACCATTATAATCCGACTTAACAACCAGGCTGAAAACGTTTAGAAATCTCCACTTTGGTCGAAGTTTGAACAAATATTGGTTGTAAGGGATGTAAAACAGCAGCTCTGTGTGGCTGAAGGCGTCAAGTAAATATTAAAAAATATACTCGTCAGTTTTGTCCCATTTAAGCTCATTTTCATTATGGCCTGTTGGTGTTTAAAAATAATTAGTTTCATCCATACAATTCATTTCTTTGTGGTCGGACTCGGCGCTGCCCGTACTTGTTGTTCCCCACAAACCAAAATAAATAGTTTTTCAAGATGCTGCAAAGTTAAATTTGACAATGTTACCATAAAGGCTGGAGATCCTTTGCGTTAGCCGGAGCTAGTTTGCAGCTTTTCTTTACTTGCAGTTTATTTCCTACGTGCAGCATTCTTTTCTTTGTTTATATATGTGTTCTTAATCCCCAAATCAGTGGATTTTGTTTAGCTTTAGACTCTCATCTCCCCAGCTTTGTTTAATTTGCTTCCTACACAGAAACAACAACTAAAGGAAAAAAGAACTAAAGTTAACAGAGCTGCTCACATTTGTGTTTTTCTCCTGTTTGCAGCAGCCCAGCGGCAGCGTTTAGTGCTGCTGTTCATCTCCGACAGAACAAAAACAAAATCCATTTCCCCATAAAGCCTTGAGCTTTTTATGAGTCCTGCCACATTTATCATCACCCACAGAGTCGTGGAAGCAGTGGCTGAACATGTGCCTCCCAGGATAATCCGGCCTCTGACAGTGATTTATAGAACATGAATCTGTCTGGAGACGATGCAGCGGAGATGGGAAGGTGCTGACAATCCAAATAAAGACACAGAGGAGATAAGCTGAACATGATGCCGAGGCGACGGACCTCAGCCATTTTGTACCAACTGTGGCGAATAGTGAAGACCTGCTATATCGGCTGGTTTAATGTTTCATCTCTCAGAGCATCAGGTGCAGCTGAAACCCTCCAATTTACAGTTTGGCTCCATTAGCAATTATTTTTAGTTTGTTTTCCGTTCAGCCAGTGGCTTCTGTGGTTTATAGGATTATTAAAGACGTTCTTGCTTAAACATATATATAAATTTACTCTTTATCAGATTTATCATATTGTCCCAAAAGTCTGAAAATTTCTATTTTAAAATCTGTGGGGTTTTTTCCGTTATCTTCTTCAGGCCAGTTAGTTCTACGTCAGCCTGAACACCTAAATTCATCCAATCATATATCAACGGTCATCTTCCAATCAAATTTTTTCGGTCATAGCATCTTGATTCATATGTCGCAGCTAATATACGCAGCGGTTGAAATCAGAATCCTTTCCTTTCCCATTGAGTTGCATCCCAGTGTTCACGGGGATGGACGTCTGTGTCTTCGGCAGGCGTAGAGCTAACAGAACTGGCAGCGTTGCGAGGCAAGGGCTCAAACATGTACGGCTGGAAGCCTTCTACACCAAACCAAGCTTCT